CCCTTGAAAGTTCGCATGATGAAGCTCGTTCCCTGGCTCGCCCATAGTTTCTTGCGCGTCTCGATGCCTTGGCAGGCGCTGTCCTCTATCTGTCTGCGTCTCTTGGTTTCGCAACAGGACCATGCACAAAAGTTCAAGATGTCACGTAACCCTCCTCGCTCGACAGCTCGATGAGGAGGGAACCAAAGGAGGGGGTCGTACCAACCCTCTGACAAAAAAAAGGGGGAGGGGTTGCCCAAGCAGCGATGTGTGTGAGAGGCGGTGGCGTAACGGATAGAGCACTTGGAAGGCGGACTACGGAAAATTATTTCACTCTCCATAAAAAGCGATTCACCCACTCTCGAACTATTCTTCCCTCCCCCCCCTTACCCCAACATCACTGGCGTGTAACGATACGTAGCATGTCCCGACACACAACGCATGGATTTGTAGCCTAATCTAGTGAAGGGAACAACCTTCATCAGAGCACCAGTTTAGGAAAGAAAACAAACAGAAGGCGTTACCTCAGCACACTGCCTCCTATTGACGTCATCACTCAGGTCATTGTCAAGACTGGAAGATTGTAGATCCCAATTAGCTTAAATATGAAGGACATAACAGATCATTCCTCAAACACAACGAATGAACGTACCGTTTGGCCCTAAATTACCGAGAGATGCCGCTGTTGAGCTATCGCCGCATAAGTCATTACTCCCGCTGGGATACCTGGAAAGGTGCACATATATGTAAACACGTAGTGATAGCTTTTATTTCTCGGTAGATCCCTCCGTGTTGTGAAACGCACCGGAGGCAAGTATCCGCTTTGATCGCCTTTCTTTTTCGATTGTAAGAATGACGGCTGGAGAGCACACCATCTGTCCGAGCAAGAGGTCTACTGCGCCACAAATTGGAGTCACAGACACCATCGTCAGGTGCCTTCACAAGTCGAAATAGCTGTGAATATGGCAAAATAGTACAACTCAGAATGACTTAAAGGCAGCGCCCGCGTTCAAATTTGATGAGTATGCGGCTCAGGTAGTAATAGCAAGGTAGCAAGAAACCTATTAGTGAAGAAAAATCAAAAAGAAAACATGCAAAATGCCCTATAAGGAGTTTCATACCGAATAGCGGTTGTACGTGCTTAAGGCGAAGAGAAGGAGTGGTTGCACGAGTTCTCACTTGTTGATTTCAGCTGTTTCCCT